TTTGCAAATTTTTGACTTTACAAAAGAAAAAAAAAAACTGTGACAATTAACATCATACTTTCCTTTGGCCATATCAGTGGAAAGTTAAATGTGATGAATACAAATACAGAGCCAGACTCAAGGTAGCTTAACCCATTGCCGCCGAAGAAAATTTTTAAAAAATGGGGAAAATGCTGTGCCTATTTTCTACACTTTTTTGTTAAATGTCTCCCATAGATGGCTCTGCTAGCGCCTGATTTGAAATGGCGTGAAAAACGTATTTTTCACTAGTGCCATGAATATCGATGGTGTTATTTTTATTATAAACATTATATTTTTTATAATGTTTTTTACCATTAGTAACAGCAAAATAAGATAACGTAAAATATTTCGTAAATCAAAGAAACGGGTAAACGGGTGAGACGGGCGGTACTCGTAACTGGCTCATTGGTGATTTAGTACAAGTGTAGCCATCTATGTGTCAAAACAATCCAACAAGTAATCTCATAGTGGGTATGGCATGGCATGCCCGTCGGCAATGGGTTAGATATTCAAAGACACAGATACACACACACACACACACACACACACACACACACACACACACACACACACACACACACACACACACACACACACACACACGCACATGCACACCATAAACTTCTTTTTCATGCAGTTGGTAATTAACCTACAGAAAACCAAATTTTACTGAACATTAGAAGAATTGACTATACATGATTTCTTAGAACTCAGAAACAAATGATGTGGGTGATTATGTATATTTAAACTCAAAACAATAATATACCTTTTTATTAACTTATTATTTATTAATATTTCTCTTATCATATTGGCACTCAAACCTCTATTAGAAGACTAGGAGTTCAAAAAAAGATGACATATTGTAACGTTAATTTTTTTAAAGATAAATCAGATTTTTTTTATCTTCATTCATCTTATCTGACTTTCTTTTTTGTTTTGTTTTTCATGGTAGTCATACTATTTGTGACTACCATTTTGTTATATATTAGAATGTTAGATGTTTAGATGTAAACGGGTTTCTTTTAAAGCTGGAACATTTCATTTAACTACTTTTATTATGCGAAATGTAATTCTACAACTATTGCAGTTAAGTAATCTTATCTAAGGTATAGATTTGTCAGTGGACATGGGAGTGATCTGGTTTCCTATGATTCTTGCAAATTTGAAAGTTAGGAAATCTGTCTGTTGAGGTCAGTAGTGTCAGTCAATCCCTATGAGGCAGAGCATTTACATAAAAGAAAAAACTGCACTTTTTAAAGGGTTGAAAAATGTGCATGCTGTACCTGGACTTGTTGTGGTGGTAGACACCTGTGGGAATAGAGGTTTGAGTGGGAATGTTTCCGAATTAACTTTTAATTTAGATAGTTCAAGAAAAAAAAGTGTAAATCAAATACGGGTAAAAAAAAAAAAAATTGGATTTTAGATCCAACATAACTAAATAAGATATGACCATGTAACTAGAAGAGAAGAGATTAAGATACTCTAACATTCTTGCTTGATATCATAAATAACTATAACTAACTGACTAATGTAGAGAAAATGATGACAGTGGATAATTAACTAGTTCTATTGAAATGTATATTTATGACAGCAGTACTAATATCAAAGGAGTTTGATGGTACAGTAGCAAGATAGAGACTTAAAAATGTCTTGGCTAATATTACAAAAGCTTCTCTTTGTAATGAAGATAAAAGGATTGCATGCTTCTCTGCTTTTATGATTTGAATCAGGTTTGCAAGCCAATCAGGAAAAAGAAAGGATTCCTTTCAGATGAAGTAAAGTAAGTAAAAGAATATTATCAGCAACATGGAGTTTCTTTGTGCATGTTATGTATTTCTTTATATGTTGCTGGTTTGATGATCAATGTAATAGAGATATTATTTTGAATTACTGTTTGTCATTTTGTGTGGTTGATATATAAATAATTTTGACTGGTATTATATTAGTACTTGCTTTATGCTCTTAGTCTTAAATGTTAGCTGTATTGATCAGGCTTTGTGGTATTTATTCTAATGAATGCCAAGGTAGGCATGATTGGGTAATTGATTAAAAAGAATGTGAAACTGATATCACTAATACGACGTCCTTCATAGATAATCGACAATGTACGGCAGACGAGTTCAAGTGTAAAGATGGTGGATGCATAGAGAAGGAGTGGAGGTGTGACAATGTGCCCGACTGCGCTGATGCCTCGGATGAAATTGATTGTAATGTGGTGTTTTTTTTATGTATTTTCATCTTCTTAGTTACTTATTTTCTCTACCTTTTTTTCCCCACCTTTTTTTCTTTGTTATATATGTTGGCATATATTATAATACCAAATTCTTTGTCTTTTTTTATTTTAATTATAAGTACTTAATAGTACTTTTCATTCAGGTCATTAAATTATTGACATTTTTTTCTTCAAAGTTTTCTTGCATCTGTAATTTAAAATTATTATAGTAATATATGTCATCATTAATTTACTTCTGCTGTTCTC